TTCTCAACAAAATGGATGGAACTGGAGATGATTATGGTATGTGAAATGAGTTAGATGCAGAAAGAGAAGGAGAGGGAAGAAGGGAGAAAGTAAATGAACAAATTATTAGGTATACTGGTATTTATAAATATTATCTTCACTGAATTATTTCCCTTATATAATAATATACCCTTCTTTCCTCATTTATGATCTTTGTCATGAATCTACATCATATAATTTTAATAAAACCATGCCTGCTTTAAAAATAGCATATATTTAATATCTATGTATGAAATGAATATGGCAAATGTGAAACATTCTTAAATCTACGTATGCTCATTGAACCCTTCCTTATAAAATGAAGCTCCTGGTTCCTGGATTTGGATCAGCCCAGCTCCAGCCATTACAGCTATTTGGGGAGTGAACTGGTAGATGGAAGATCTCCCTCTCTCTCTCAGTGTAACTCTGATTTTCAAATAAAAAAGATAAATCTTTAAACACACACACTCACACGTACATGAAACTATCAGGTTTACTAATGGAGTAGATATAATCAGTAACCAATGAGCACAATGACAGGAGCTAATTCTTAATCTAGCAATATTAACCTTGAATGTAATTGGATTAAATTCTGCAGCCAAAATATTTTAGTTGGCTGAATGGATAAAATACCAATACCAAACTATATGTTGCCTATAAGAAACTCACTTAACAAATAAAGATATACACACATTGAAAGCAAAGACCTGGAAAAAGATATACCAGCCAAACTGAAAGCAAAAACAAGCAGGATTAGCTATACTCATTGTCAGGTTAAAAACAGTCTTTAAATAAAAAGAACTGTAAAAAAGGGTATCATATATTGATAAAATGATCAGTAAGGAGATATAATAATCACAAATATATCTGCATCCAAAGGACCACCTAGATATATACAGCAAATTCTGTTATACCTAAAGGGGGTGACAGACTCCAATATAATAATGATAGGTGATTTCTTTTTTTTTTTTTTTCTTTTTTGACAGGCAGAGTTAGTGAGAGAGAGACAGAGAGAAAGGTCTTCTTTTTTCCATTAGTTCACCCTTCAATGGCCGCTGCGGCTGGCGTACCGTGCTGATCCAAAGCCAGGAGCCAGGTGCTTCTCCTGGTCTCCCATGCGGGTGCAGGGCCCAAGCACTTGGGCCATCCTCCACTGCCTTCCTGGGCCACAGCAGAGAGCTGGACTGGAAGAGGAGCAACCGGGACAGAATCCGGTGCCCCGACCAGGACTAGAACCCTGGGTGCCAGCACTGCAGGCAGAGGACTAGCCTAGTGAGCCGCAGCGCCGGCCGATAAGTGATTTCAATACCCCACTGTCATCAATGGACAGCAAAAATAGAGAAATGTGATTACATCAAGCTAAAAGCAAACACTCAACAAAATGTAGTAGTAACCAACAGAATGTGAGAAAATATTTGCAAACTATATATCTGAAAAAGGATTAATATTCAGAATATATAATGATCTCAAGAAACTCAACAACAAAGAGAGACAATCCTCTTTAGAAATAGCAAAGAGTATAACCAGGAATTCTTCAAAGGATGAAATATAAATGACCAAACAAACACATGAAAATATACTCAGGATCACTAGCCTTCAAAGAAATGCAAATAAAAAGCACAGTGAGGTTTTACCTCACTCCAATTAGAAGGACTTTCATCCAAAAATCAAAAAGTAACAACTGCTGGTGAGGATGTGGGGGAAAATGATACACTAATATACTCTTGGTGGGAATGTAAACTAGCACAACCATTATGGAGGACAGTATGGAGACTCCCCAGAAATCTACACATAGGGGCCAGTGCGGCAGGTGGTAGCGGGTGAAGCCACCCCCTGCAGTACCAGCATCCCATGTGGGCGCCAGTCTGACTCCTGCTGCTCTACTCCCAATCCAGCTCCCTATTCATGCACATGAGAGAAGCAGTGGAAGGTGGCCCAAGTCCTCGGCCCTTCACTTATGTTTGAGATCCAGATGGTCCTCACTTTGGCCTGACCCAGCCATAACCATTGTAGCCATCTCAGGAGTGAACCAGTGGATAGACGCTTGCTAGCTTTCTCTCTCTCTGCCTCTACCTGTCTTCCTATTCTGATTTTCAAATAAATAAATAAATCTCTTAAAAAAAAGAAATCTGGAAATAGAGCTACCATATGATCCAGTTATCCCACTCCTGGGAATTTAACCAAAGGAAATGAAATCAGCATATGAAAGTGTTACCTGGGCCGGCGCCATGGCTCACTAGGCTAATCCTCCGCCTTGCGGCGCTGGCACACCGGGTTCTAGTCCTGGTCGGGGCACCGGATTCTGTCCCGGTTGCCCCTCTTCCAGGTCAGCTCTCTGCTGTGGCCAGGGAGTGCAGTGGAGGATGGCCCAAGTGCTTGGGCCCTGCACCCCATGGGAGACCAGGAGAAGCACCTGGCTCCTGCCATCGGATCAGCATGGTGCGCCGGCTGCGGCGGCCATTGGAGGGTGAACCAACGGCAAAAAGGAAGACCTTTCTCTCTGTCTCTCTCACTTAAAAAAATAAAAATAAAAATAAATAAAAAAGAAAAAAAAGAAAGTGTTACCTGAACCTCTGTGTTTACAGCAGCTCAATACACAATAGTTAAGACATGAATCAACCCAAATGTCCATCAACTGAAGACTGGATAAAGAAAATAAATATGGTATATGCACACAATGGAATACCACTCTGTAATTTAAAAAAAAATGAAATCCTGTTTTTTGCAACAAAATGGATTGAACTGGAGACCATTATGTTTAGTGAAATAAGCCAGACCCAAAGCAAGAAATATTTCCTCTGATCTGTAATATTTAACAGAGTACAAAAAAAGAATAAATTCAAATGTATAACAGTGAAATTGACATTGTATGACTTGATTATTATTTCTAGCCTTTGTCTATATCCCTATAAATGAGTGGTCTTTATATTTTTTACTTGTTGAGCACTATATTTAGTGGAGTATTAAGCCTGTGATTATAAAGTAAACAAAAAATGTGATAACAAAAATAAATAAAAAGAAAGGAGGAGGAGGGAGGGAGGGAGGGAGAGGTGAACAGAGGGAAGTGTACTTATGTTCAGAGAATTGTGTCTTTGAAATACATAAAATCTGTTCTCAACGGCACCGTGGCTCACTAGGCTAATCCTCCGCCTGTGGCGCTGGCACCCTGGGTTCTAGTCCCCGTCAGGGCGCCGTATTCTGTCCCTGTTGCCCCTCTTCCAGGCAAGCTCTCTGTTGTGTCCCAGGAGTGCAGTGGAGGATGGCCCAAGTCCTTGGGCCCTGAACCCGCATGGGAGACCAGGAGGAAGCACCTGGCTCCTGGCTTCGGATCAGTGCAGTGCGCCGGCCGCAGCGCAGGCCGTGGTGGCCATTGGAGGGTGAACCAACGGTAAAAGGAAAACCGTTCTCTCTGTCTCTCTCTCACTGTCCACTTTGCCTGTCAAATAAAATAAAATAAAATAAAATCTGTTCTCTTTATATTAATACAAATATTTTAAGAAAGGAGAAAATGAGAGAAATCTGTTACATTTTCTCTGAAAAAAATTTATGTTTTCAGATGACATGCTGTTAAACATGGAAAAATCATAGGCACTCCACCAAAAAGCTGTTAGAAGTGATAAAGCAATTCAGTAAAGTTGTAGGTTATAAAATAAACATTTAAAATTCAGTAGCTTTTTATACATTAATGATGAGCTTGCCAAAAGAGATATCAAAACAGAAATTCCACTCAGAATAGCCACAAGAAGTCAAATATGTATGAATTAATCTGACCAAAGAAATGAAAGATCTCTACAATGAAAATTATAAAACATTGATGAAAGAAATCATCAAGGACCCAAATGCTAGTGAGAATATGCAGAAAGGGAACTCCTACACACTGTTGGTGTGGATGTAAATTAGTGCAGCCACAGTGGAAAATAAAGGTTTGTTAAAAAAATACTACAAGTAGACTTGCCATATGATTCAGCAACCCCACTTCTGGGTATATTACCCAAAAGACAAGAACATGTCGTATCAAAGAGATACCTGCAGCACCATGTTTATAGCAGCACTGTTCACAGTAACCAAAATATGGAATCAACCAAGGTGCCCATCACCAGAATAGATACCCACACACACAGTGGAACATTTGCTTATAAAAATACGAAAATCTTCCATTTACATCAAAATGGATGCCAGTGGAGGACATCATGTTAAGTGTAAGCTGGATACACAAAGGAAAACACCACGGGTTTTTTCTTATACATGTGAGTTAAAGCTAAATAAGAAAAAAAGTCAAAAAAATGATTTTGTGTACCAGTATTGCTGCAAAATCATTTTATCAAACTTTGTTTTATGTCTTTGTCATATCAATAATTAAGAATTATGTTACTATGATTTTGATGTGTATTTTAAGAAATTACTGTATATGAATAAAATTGTTATCTTTTCAATTATTTATAGCTCTTGCCTATATTCCTGCTTTTAAGTAATATTGTTGAACTCTTTATTTAGTGTAACATTAATTCTTTGACTATAGTCTAAATTAAAATTATGTTATCAAAAGGGGCTGGCATTGTGGTGTAGCAGGTATAACCATTGCCTGCAAAACCAGCATCCCGTATGGGTGCCGATTTGTGTCCCAGTTGCTACACTTCTGATCCAGCTCACTGCTAATGACCTGGGAAAAGCAATGATGGCCCAAGTCCTTGGGTCCCTAGCCACCCATGTAGGAGACCTGGATGAATTTCCTGCTCCTGGCAATGGCCTGGCCCAGCTCCAGCTATTGAAGTCATATGGGGAGTTAACCAATGGATAGATACAGATATTCATTCTTATTCTCATTCTTTCTTTTTCTCTTCTGTCTTCTTCATCCCCACTCCATAACTCCAACTGTCAAAAAAATCAATTAACAAAAAGTTTTACATTAAAAAAGTTATCACAAAAATTTATAAAGGAAGGAAAAGCAGCAAGGCAGAAAGGAGAGAAAGAGGGGAGGGGAGAGAGGGAAGTATCATTTTCTTAAAATTGTGTCTGTGAACTAATTGAATCTGTTCTCTTTGCATTAGTAACACATTAACATGAGAATTGTGCTGTTGTAATTATCATGCATTTTCTGTGACCCTGTGAATCTAATGTATTAATAAATTCCTTTTAAAGAGGCATTTGCATATATTCAAGGTGTATGTAGTAAATACTTCCAAACTGTTGTGCACACCAGCCAAGTGTGAGAGTGCCCTTGGCTCTTCCTCATCTCCATCCACTTCATTTTAACCATTTGAGTCTTTGTGAATTTGTACCGCATTATGATTTAAATTTTTGTTTCCCTAATGAAGTTGAGCACTTTTGCATATGTTTCCTGGGCATGTATATTCTTTTATGTGGTATTTATTCAACTCGTTTGCCATTTTTTTCTAAGTGAATCATCCTGATTTTCTTTCGCTGATTTGTAGACCTTATTTAAATATAGTCTGCATATGAATCATTTGTCAGAAATATATTTTACAAGTATTTTTCTCACATTGTGACTTCCCTTTTCACTTTTTATAACTCACCAATTTTTTTAATGAAAACAAATTCTAAATTTTAACAGTACAATTTGTCTCTTTATGGTCCAATTATTGTATCTTGTTGAAGATAAGAAAATTTTCTGCTCCAAGGTCATGAAGATTTTCTTCTACATTTTCCTCTGTAAGCTTTATTTTGGTATCTTCACATTTTGGTCTAAAATAAATTAACAGAATTGAGTTTGGTGTTCATACCTATCTCTAAGCATATATCCCCTTGATTTATTATTTTCACATACACTTATTTTCCCTTCATTTTCCAGTTAAAGAAATGAAACAGGATAATTTTTCAGCTGTTTTGTTTGCAAAGTGATTGGTACACATGGCATTGAACTTTGAATCCTTCCTCCATGTTCACTCTCTACCACTAAGAGCTAACGTGTATCTCCTCTAGCCGTATTGTCCCTGTGCCCCCCAGTTTCATTTCCCCACATAGCAGTTCCTACCAGTATGGACTTTTGTCCTGAAAGACAGCCATGGTCTATTGGCTTCCATATTTGAGAGCTGGTGGTGTCCAGTCAGAATCCCTCAGAGTGAGTCATATTATATATGAGGACTTGGTTGTGCTATCACAGTTTCTCTGCATGTTCTTATGAGATAATTTCAGAGGAAAGAGCAAGTAAGAGAGAAAGAGAGAACAAGCTGCCTTCCCCGTCTTCTCTGAATTTCTCTTGCAAAGGGGGCATAGCATCCTTCATAAGTCTTGGTCAAAGCCGGATAATAGTAATGACCTCTGCAGGTGCCTGCAAGCTAATACTGTTGAGTTAGTATGTTTGCGCTACTGTAACAAAATGCCTAGACTGGACAGCTACAAACGACAGACATTTCAGCAGGTATCTCCTGAGTTCTGGAGGCTGGGAAGTCCAAGATGAAGATGTCGACAGATTTGAGAGAAGGGTCCCTGGGGTCTCTGAGTCTGACCGCATACTGAAGACTCTGATCTCAAACCTGATCACTTCCTGAGGATCCCAACTCCTAACACCATGCTGTTGAGGTTTAGTCTCACCATATAAATCTGGAGAGACACATTCAGTGCACAGCAAACGGTTCATTTCTGGTATTCTCTTTATGTTTCTTTTTATCTCTTTAAAATTCTCGCTCTGTGTTTCATAATGTATATAAAGCCTTAATAGACATGTATGCACAAATGATTTATAAATCATATGCAATTATGTGGTCTGTTAAAAACAGTGCTCTGTATGCATGGTTATTATGAAAGAAAAATATAAGTTACATTGTGCATTATATTATGTAAAACTAGGAAATTTGAGTACTAGTTATAATGAGAGAAAATAAGAATCTTAGAAAACAAAGGATCATTTTCATCTTCTTTACCAAAGCCAGTTGTTACGACAGGAGGTAAGACAATGAGAATACATGAAACATTAAAAACCACTCTATATGGCAGATTCTGATTCTATAGATATCCGAATTTCATATGCAACAGAACATACAAGCTCTTGAAATTGCATATTAGCAGAATTGGAAACACAAAGGCTCTTTAGAGAGAGAAACATTTGATGGGAATTAATGAAACACTACACAGCAAACTCTCTTTCTCTCTTCTTTAACAATTGGTTAAAAATATAACAACAACAAAAACTAGAATGAGAATATCTGGAGTGACAAAGTGCCCAGGAATTACTAGAAACTGAAAGTCAAAAAGATAAGCAGAAATATTCAGTGAAGTTTGATGCTGACGGAGTATCTCCTCTTTAAGTAAAAAGTGGTAGGTGGGGCCTGACATTTAGTGCAATACTCAAGCTGCTGCTTGGGATGTCTACATCCATACCAGAGTACCTGGGTTCTTAGGCTGAAGTCCCAGTCCCACCCTGCATCCAGGTTTCTACACATGCATGTCCTGGGAGGTAGCAGGTGATCATGCAAGCATTGAAATCTGCCACCTACGCAGGAGTCCGTTGGCTGTTGTGGCTATTTGGAGAGTTAATCAGTAGATGAGAGATGCCTCTTGCTCTCTTCTCTTCCCTTGTCCCCTTCACTCTTTCAAATACAGAAAATAAATAAAAAAGTCAAATGGTTAAAGAATCCTGTTAAATTTCATCATTGCTATAAAAATGACCACAAAAACAATGACTTAACACAAATGCACCTGTGTAGACCGTAAGTCCAAAAGGCTCTCACTTGGCCATGAGGCAGGCGTCACGGGGCCGAGTTCCTTCTAGAGATTCTAGCAGACATTGTTGTCTCGCATTTTTTCTGGATTCTCAAGGCCACCCCAAACCTTGGCTGCTGGCTCCCTTTCAGCAGCCTCAAAGTCAGCAACACTAGTCAGAGTCCTCACTTGGCCAACTCTCCAGCCGTCTCTGCTGATCCCTTTTCTCCTTTTAATGATTTCCTGACTTGGATAATACTCAGGATGACCCTCCTATATTAAGCCAGGTGGTTATCGACCTTGACTCCATCTGCAAGCTGCCCTTCCCCTTTGACCTGGAACCTAAGGTGCACACTGGTTTCTAGGGATTAAGATGTAGACATCCTTGTTGGGCCACTACTCTGCCTACAATCTCTATTAGGGAGTTTTCTAATTTAATTGTTGGCCAGTTTAGTCAGGAGCACATTTTATGTTTTTCCCTTGAGAAACTGCGTCAAAGATATTTATTTTCAAAGCAGAATTTCTATATTTCTGTGGGTTTTAACTATTCTTAATCACACGCACATTTGTATTATAAACACATGCACTTCATTCAGAGTATCATGAGAAACAATACTATGGGGTAAAACACACAGTGATTATAATGGGGAAACATACTATCAAAGGGTGAAATGGAGGGTAGGATGATATTAGGAGCATCCAGCTAGGAATCATAGAATCCACCTTGCTGACTCTCATCTGCCCTTTTATAAAGTTTAATGTACAAGAGGAGTCGAAGTACTTGAAAGAGCTGTGTAGAAAGTCACAGACATCTATTTACCACAAAGTCAGGAATATTCATAACCATTAAAAGTACATTTTGGGGCTGGCGCCGCGGCTCACTAGCGGCTCACTAGGCTAATCCTCCGCTTGCGGCGCCGGCACACTGGGTTCTAGTCCCAGTCGGGGCGCCGGATTCTGTCCTGGTTGCCCCTCTTCCAGGCCAGCTCTCTGCTGTGGCCAGGGAGTGCAGTGGAGGATGGCCCAGGTCCTTGGGCCCTGCACCCCATGGGAGACCAGGAGAAGTACCTGGCTCCTGCCATGGGATCAGTGCAGTGCGTCGGCCGCGGCGGCCATTGGAGGGTGAACCAATGGCAAAGGAAGACCTTTCTCTCTGTCTCTCTCTCTCACTGTCCACTCTGCCTGTCAAAAAAAAAAAAGTACATTTTGGTGACTCAAGTTCAACTATTGGTCAGCTCCAGAAGTGAAGGGGAGGAGGAGGAACATCTTGGTGTTGCAGAGAGGAGGAAATGGCTTTGGTGCAGTTTACCCTGGGCGGGAGGCTCCTCACAGTTAGCTGAGAAAAGTCAGGCTCCAAACTCTAATTCTTAAAGTCATTAGCAGTTGTTGAGATATTGGAATCAGTATTTCAAACTCTTTAGTTCAGCTTATCCAGTAAGTAATGTGATAAAATATTTCAGAGTAGAACCCTACACGCTGGCATAGTGCATCTTATGTTGCATCCACAGAAGTCTTGGTGGTGGATTAGTCTACTTGTTCTGTAACAATCCTCCCTCAGTGTTCCATGAGAGTAGATGTTGAAATTGGTTACTAGATATAGTTTGGGTTTATATTTTCTTCAATTCTGGGTTTCAATTATCCATGTTATACTTGTATTCAATTATTTCAGAAAGTCACAAGTTGGCAATCATAATCACATAATTATTTTTGAACATCAAAAAGAGACAAAACTAAATATTAAATTCTATAAATTCATTGGCTTGGAGAATATTCTTTCTGGATTTAGATCATGGTTGAATTCATGTAATTGATCATCTTAATATTGCATTCCCACTTTAACCAAAAAGTTTCATTACTTTCAACTCACATTAACAAATATTTTTATCAGAAGTTGAAACCTTAAAGCTAGACATTGTGTGATAGAAATACCAAGTAAGGTGTACATTGTAGATTCAGACCTGAATCAGCTCAAGCCTAAAATGCCAACAGCATTTCTATTCTTTCCGAATAGAAATTTTCTGATTTTATTGATATCAGTGAGTTGCACAGAATTCATCCTGCTAAGGAGATATTAGGTCTGCACATTTGGGAATCCACATATGCTTTTCATCAAATGGACAACAGGTCAGGATGGTGAGAAATGTTCACCTGAGCAAATCACTCTCTTTTAATAGGTTGTCACACTGACATGGAGAACTACATTGTTAGTCATCATTTGCCACAAAAGTGTGTGCCTAAAATGGACATTCGTTTTTCATTTTCATATTTGATAAATAAAAGCTCCACTGTTTACCACTTCTTTCAACCAGCTATCTTTTAGGACACAAATTAGCTTGGTACAGTTTTGTAGAGAATTGTTTAATGCTTGATGTGATGAAGACAAAATTTAATTTTCTAGCTGTGTAGACTTAAGTCAATAAATCTCATTGAGCCTTGGTTTTCTGCCAAATGGGTGTTTTTGTGTGGATAAAATAGAACATTTTCTTGCAGATGGTAAGAGATGGGAGAGGGGCAGAGAGAAAGGGGGGTGAGAGATCATCTATCTAAGCACTTAAAAAAAGTACAAAGTATTTTTATCATTGGGAATGATACTTTTTTTGCTTTCTTATAACATGCAAATCATATTATGTCTTTTTTGTCTTCATCAATTAGTACTGCTCGCTAAAAGGAAAAAGACAGGGGCTGGCATTCTGATACAGTAGGTTAAGCCTACTGTCTGCAACACCAGCAACCCATAGGAACCCTGGTTCAAGACCTGACTACTCCACTTCCAATCTAGCTCCCTGGTAATGTACCTGGGAAAGCAGTGGAAGATGGCTCAGATACTTGGACCCTAGCCACCCAGGAGGGATACCTGGATGGAGTTCTAGGCTCCTGGTTTCAGCCAGGCCCAGCCCTGGATGTTGTAACCACTTGGGGAGTTAACCAGCAGACATATGTCTCTCTCTCTCTCTCTCTCTCTCTCTGAATCTCAGTTTATCTCTCTCCTCTCTATGTTCCTGTATATCCCTCTTTCTCTGTAGCTCTACCTTTAAAATAAATCTTTTAAAATAGAAAAAGAGGTATTGATGCTAGTTTAGTATAACCTATTCTGCTTAATATGCTGACTTCTGCATGGAAATCACAGATTAGAAATATCCTTTGATTTAGGCTTTAGAATTTTCTGTATTTCTTGATCTGTTATAGCAACAATCAGCATTTAACTCCTCATAGTTGATTGCAGGAAAGCACTGTTCAGCCCATCCCCACCATTCCTTATTTTGTTCTCTCCATTCTCACATACCTGGGATATTCCTTCCTCACCCAGATCCATGAGTTTCTGGGACAAATGCCTTCCTCTTACTTGGAGTTGTCTCTGATATGTCGAAGGTCATTGATAAACACATCTTCCTAAGAAAGAATACATAGAAACTTGGGTGGTGTTGAAGGTAAAGTATAGCATTTCCTGTATAGAAATCTATTTGCTTGTCACTCATGGTTTTCCTTGGTTCAAAGGTTAAAGTTATCTAGAGGTTTCAGATAATCTTTGCTGGCTCTGAAGGGGATATGTCCAGTAGCTAACGAGAGGTTGACTGCTAATGAAATTGTGCCTTTTTATTGGCATCTTTTTTTTTTCCTTCTAATCAGTTTTTTTAAAATATTCTCTTTATCTTTGCATGAAATTTCATCAGGATTTGTCTAGAGTTGTGTCTTTGTTGAAAGCAAACCTATTGGAACTCAAGCTGAAATGGATTCTTTCTTGCTAGATCATACAAGCTTCAGGTCTCCACACTTGTTTTATGTTATTTAAATATTAGTTTTCTTTCTTAAATTTTCTCATCTTTTACTGAGATTATTGTATCAGGAATAGTTTCAGAATTGTTTTCTTTTTCTAATATTTTCTCTCTCTTTTTAAAAGATCTAACTATCTATCTACCTACCTGCCTAAAGGCAGAGGTGGTAGTATCCCTAGTCCTTGGGCCATCTTTCTCTGCTCTTACCAAGCGCATTAGTAGGAAGTTGGATCTGAAGCAGAGAAGTGGGGACTCAAATTTGCACTCTGACGTGGAGTGTCTGTGTCACGAGTGGTGGCTCAGTCCATTGTGCCACATGCTCGTTCCTCACGTTCCCTCTTTGTCCTGCATTCTGGGAATCTTCCATGCCTAGCTCTCATTGATCCAATCAGTTATTGGATTGATCAAGTATGTGTGTGTGTTGTGTGTGTGTATATATATATATATATATATATATATATATATAGACAGGCAGAGTGGACAGTGAGAGAGAGAGACAGAGAGAAAGGTCTTCCTTTGCTGTTGGTTCACCCTCCAATGGCTGCCGCGGCCGGCGTGCTGTGGCCGGTGCACCGCGCTGATCCAAAGGCAGGAGCCAGGTGCTTCTCCTGGTCTCCCATGGGGTGCAGGGCCCAAGGACTTGGGCCATCCTCCACTGCACTCCCTGGCCACAGCAGAGAGCTGGCCTGGAAGAGGGGCAACCGGGACAGAATCCGGCGCCCCGACCGGGGCTAGAACCCGGTGTGTTGGCGCTGCAAGGCGGAGGATTAGCCTAGTGAGCTGTGGTGCCGGCTGATCAAATATATTTTTAATTTATGTTTTCTCATAGTTCTCTATTATTTTAAAAGTATCTTCTCTAATCTGAAGATAACAGTGTTTCACTGTTAAATTGTTTTTGTCTCCCTGAATCATCTTTTTCTTCAATTCTTCTTTAACATTGCTTATTTTTCTCATTGGTCTTAGGACCCATGGCTCATCCTTCTTATTTTGAAATGAAAAATTGGTTTACCTGTTGCAGGCAAGAGCTGTGGGTTTTCTATGCTATTCTGCTTGAAAATGGATCTCTTTCCCGGTGGGCCTTTGGACAGAGAACTCTGTCAATGTGAGAAGAATGTGTCCACTGGCAATTTGTATGCTAGACAGAGGAGGCAGAAGTCCAGTCTCAGGCTGTGAATAATTCTCAAATGCTAGCATAAGAAAACCTTTGCTCTGGGGTTGCCAATAACAATCTACAAATTTTAATATTACTAATATCTAACACTTATCAGGCACATTTCTAAGTATTCCAAGTTAGATAATTATTTAATTCTTGAATTATATTAACAAGATGGTAGAGTTGGAGAAACCACATTTATCACATCCATCACACACACACACATACACACATTCCACACACAAAAATTTTGAAAAGTAATGACAAATGAAAATACAACTGAGTGGGCTCAAGGATCCAATTAATATCCTGTAGCAACACAGTAGAATGAAAGAGAACACACACACAGAAAGAATTGCTGGGGGCAGGGGGATAAGAGTACTGGGGATGCCCAAAGATAGCTAGGAATGAAGAAAGAAGCCAGGGGCTATCAGTATCAGCCATAAGGTAGGTGCCACCTTAGTTGCCACTGGTCTTTTATGCAGAGGATACCATAAGTCTCTGCCATTGAATTAGCCAACAGCCATCACCTCTACAGATCCCTGGACAGTAGGATGCTTCCACAGCCTCACTGGAAGGAGCCACCGCTCTGCCACCCCTTCCCTCCCCTGCCCATATCCAAGACACTGGTGCTACAGTCACTCTACCTGTGCTGGTATTCCTGACATTGACTTAGTGGCTGCACAAATACATGTGCATTTGAGACCACATTGCTGTAGCTAGCCTAGGCCAGGACCTGAGGCTGTGATCATCCATTTCTCCATGTACTCTGGACTCTAGATCTAGCACTGCCTTGAACATGAGAGCCATTACCACAGTGAACTTGCCCATGCTCTCAACTCTGGAACTGCCAATGCTCAAGCTCCAGATTCTGGATTCATGGATCCCGGATCTGCACTTCATGTATTGGAGCCACAACTATAGCAGGCACATCTTCCAGGTTCCTAGGTTTGTCCTAGGAACACACACCTCTACTTTGGACTGCAGCTCCTTAGGTGTGACGGCAGCATATACACCTAGGACACTGGAGTGCCACTGATGTGGAAACACATGCACTTCAGATTCAAGAGATGCTGTGGTTGTGTACATGACCGTGCTCAGGATCCTGATTACTGAACATCTCTATAAATACCTGCACCTTACACTGTACCAGTGTGGTAGCAAGAGTGTCTGTGCCTCCTGACCAGTGTCATTGCATATGATCCCAGAACCATTGCTCTTCTATGTGTACTTGTGTTCCAGAATATGGCTTCTTGACTGCTTCACAGCCATTGTGCCTCAGACCTGAGTGGCACTCCACAGCTAGCATGCCTGCAAGCTGAAACTAGCAATAAGAAAGTGTTTGTGACAATTACTTCTATAGCAAAAAAAAAAAAAAAGTGATCAGCAAGACCCATCAATCTTAACCATCAATAATCACAGTATCCCTTAATATTACTATAGATATCCAAAGCCTTTGGTTGTAGAAGACTCCTGAAATATTTGCTAATGCTGGCTCCACCTGACAGCATTGCATGAAGACTATGCTGCTGCGACTTCACTGGAACCTCACCAGCCTTTACAACTGACGGTAAGTAAAGATCTTTCCCCAGCAAAATAAGGCTATAAAATCTGAAAAAAAGTGATTCCATCAAATTTGCAGACATTAGTTAAAGGCAACAAGAAATATGAAAAAAATAAGGAAAGAAGACAGTCCCAAATAAATCCAATAATTTACTAGTAACCAATTCCAAAGAAAGGGAGATCTACAAATAATATGACATAGTTCAAAATAATTCAAAACAAATGAATATAAAGGAGAAATGAAATCAAAAAAGCAATATGCTAAAAAAAATGAGAACTTTAACAGAGAAACAGAATCATTAAAGATGACCAAACAGAAATTCTGGAGCTTAAGAATACAATGAATGAAATGGATAATGCAATAGAAAGCTTTAATAGATAACTTGGTCAAGCAGAACAAAGAATCAGTGAATTAGAGGACAAGTCCTTCGAAAATATCCAGTCTAAGGAGCAATATATAATAAAAAGGAATGAAAAAAACACATGGAATTTATGAGACTGAATCTAACATTCACAGAATAGACATTTTAGTGAAAGAAATACTGAGCTTAATTAAATATAGAGCAAGGATATAAAATATTTCTATAATGGAAATTACAAAACATTAAAGAAATCAATAGAAGACACAAACACAAAAATAGAAAAATATTCTATGTTCCATGTTCATGAACTTGAAGGATCAATATCATCAAAATGTCTATACTACACAAAGCAATTTACAGGTTCAATGTGATCCAATTCAAAATACTAAGTACATTCTTCTGAGATCTAGAAAAATGACCCTTAAATTAATATGAAGCACAACAGATGCTAAATAGCTAAAGCAAACTTGAATAAAAACAAAGCTGGAGGCATCATAATACCAAATTTCAAGACATGTCACAGGATTGTTACAATCAAAACAGCTTGATATTGGCAAAGGAATAGACCTATGTCCCAAAGGAACATATTAGAAACTCCAGAAATTAATCCAAAACTAATGTCTACAACTAATCTTTGACAAATGTGCTAAAATCACTACCCAGGGAAAGGACAGTCTATTCAACAAATGCTATTGGGAAAACTGAATCTCATCATGCAGATGTACAAAACAAGAACTCTCCATAACACCTATACAAAAATCAACCCACAACGAATCCAGAATCTAAACCTGATATCTGAAACCATCAAATTACTAGAGGAAAACATAAGATAAATACTACAAGACATTGGTGTAGGCAGGAGACATTGGCATAGACAAAGACTTCTCAAATCAGACCCCAGAACCACAGGCAACAAAAAAGGAAACAAGTGAACTGGAATACATCAAGCTATAAAGCTTCTGCACAGCAAAAGAAACACTCGAGAAAGTGAAGAGACAATTGACAGAACGTTAAAAAATATTTGCCAACTAGACATCTGATAAAGGATTAATAACCAGAATATATTAAGAGCTCAAGAAACTCAACATAATCTAGTTAAGAAATGGGCAAAGGACATGAATAGGTTATCACCCAAAAATAAAAAAAAAAAATTAATGCCAGTGAGGAAGTGGAAGAAAAGGTACCCTGATACATTGTTGGTGGGAATATTAACTAGTATAACCATTATGCAGGACAATATGGAGATTCCTCAGAAATCTGAAAATTGATACACTGTATAAACTAGCCATCTTACTCCTGGGAATTTAAGCAGAGGAAGTGAAATCAGCATATGAAAGAGTTACCTATACCTCCTTTTTATTGAAGCTCAATTCACAATAAGTGAGATATGGATTTTCCCAGATGTCAATGAACTGATGTCTAGATAAAGAAAATGTATGTACACACACACACACACACACACACACACACACAGAGACATGACAAGGACAAAGCTGCTCCCTCCACCACTGTGCTGGTGCAGATTCCGATTCTTTATCA